TGAGCCACCGCACCCAGCAGAATTTTCCTATTTTCAAAGCAAAAATATAGCAAAGAAGTGTGGCTAGTGGCTGGGCGCGGTGGCTCACGCCTATAATCCCAGCACTTCGGGAGGTTGAGGTAGGCAGCATAAGGTCAGGAGTTTGAGACCAGCCTGGCCAATATGGTGAAACCCCGTTGCCACTAAAAATACAAAAATTAGCCAGGCGTGGTGGTGGGCACCTGTAGTCCCAGCTACTCAGGAGGCTAAGGCAGGGAGAATTGCTTGAACCCGGGAGGCGGAGGTCGCCGTGAGCTGAGATTACGCCACTACACTCCAGCCTGGGTAACAGAGCGAGACTGTCTCAAAAAAAAAAAAAAAGAAATGTGGCTAATATTTAATTGGCCCACACTATGCGTTTGGTACTTTACATGAAGCATCTTGGTTAATCATCACAACTCCATGATGAAAAGAGAGAGGAAGTGACTACCTTAAGGCCACACAGTAAGTGGTGAAGGAGGATTCCGATCCAGTATTTCAGAGCCCAGGCTCTTAATCATTTCACCATATTCCTTCTTTAGTGGATATTTCTTACCTCAGCTGCAGTAAATTTTTCCCTTGGCCCAGCTGTAATCCACAGTTTCACTCCATTTAACTTCTCAGATGTGATTTCATCTTTTAAGCTAGAAATACAATTTTAAAAGCAAATATTAGGTCCATAATTTAAATCAATTTATGTATTGTTTTAGTCTCTCAACTATTTGGAAGCAGAGGCCACAGAGGCTCAGAGATGAAGGGACTTAGACGTAACTGGTCCAGTCTCTCTCCCAAAGTGAGAATTCCCTCTAAGGCCTGCCCCAGAGTCATCTGTCCTCTGTCCAAATACTTCCAGTAAGTCAAGGTGTTCAAATCAAGCCATGCTAAAGCATAAGGAAGTCCTCAACTACTAATTCAATCAGCCCTACCATTAGCTCGTATGATTACATATCCTCACCTATTAAGAACATACACATACACATCCACAAAGTCAAAGCTATTCTCATTTAATTCTCATGTTTCCTTTCCCTAGTATTGACCTCAGTCAAAATATGAAGAAAGCCTCTAAATCTTAAAAAGTTACATGTGTATAATTAGAATAATTTTTTGGTGTGTGATTTGGAAGACAACTTAATAATATGCTGCTTTAATAATATCCTAATTGCTGATTTCAGAAGAAATGTTTTTTGGTTTTTGTTCTTGACAGAGTCTCCCTCTGTTGCCCAGGCTGGAGTGCAGTGGCATGATCTCGGCTCACTGCAGGCTTCACTGCCTGGGTTCAAGGGATTCTTGTCCCTCAACCTCCTTAGTAGCTGGGATTATAGGCACGCACCATCAACTCAAGTGATCTGCCTGCTTCAGCCTCCAAAAGTGCTGGGATTACAGGCATGAGCGACTGCGTCCTGTCCAAGAGATCTTTCAATAAGAATTTATTTAATTATGAATAATTTTTTTATTTTTTGAGACAGTCTTGCTCTGTCACCAAGCTGGAGTGCAGTGGCGCGATCTCAGCTTACTATAACCTCCGCCTTCTGGGTTTAAGTGATTCTCCTGCCTCAGCCTCCCGAGTAGCTGGGACTATACGCAGGCACCATCATACCCAGCTAATTTTTGTAATTTTAGTAGAGACGGGGTTTCACCATGTTGGCCAGGATGGTTTTGATTTTTCTTTTTTTTTTTTGAGACAGAGTCTCACTCTGTTGCCCAGGCTGGAGCGCAGTGGCGCAATCTCGGCTCACTGCAACCTCCGCCTCCCAGGTTCAAGCAATTCTCTGCTTCAGCCTCCCAAGGAGCTGGGATTACAGGAACTTGCCACCATGCCTGGCTAATTTTTAAAAAATTTTTAGTAGAGATGGGGTTTTGCCATCTTTTCCAGGCTTGTCTTGAACCCCTGACCTCGTGATCCACCCATCTTGGCATCCCAAAGTGCTGGGATTACAGGTGTCAGCCACCGTGATGGCCAGTCTTGATCTCTGACCTTGTGATCCGCCTGCCTCAGCCTCCCAAAGTGCTGGGATTACAGGCGTGAGCCACCGCGCCAGACCTAATTCTGAATGATCTTTAAATTGAGCTTCTCCCACCTAAACAATCTATGTTACATAAGAAAATAAAGACTTCTCAGCTTTATCAGCAGGACAATATCATTTAGAAGGGAAAACAATATACATGGTCGGTCACCTCTGAATCTTCCAATTACTCCGAAGTTTTTTCTGCATGGATTTATAGCCGTTGTTGGTGGTAAATATTTCCTTTTTGTAGGCATTGAAAACAATGGTGCTCCGCAGCTCTTTCTCCATGGTTACCTTACGGAAGAAAGAAGGGATCAGAAAATCAATAAACAATATTCCAAAGACCCTAAAAGCAATAAATAGTTGCCTTCTACTACTATTTATCAAGAAAGGGCATACAACTGAAACCTATCTAGGAAATTCCTACAATTCTCAAAGGTCAAGAATGAAATGCAAAAGCATAGCACAGAAACCTAATACCAAAACAAACCCAGCCCTCCCCTACCCATTTTTGCTTTCCACCTCTTGCCCAGACCCTCCCAACAGCCTATACCTATGGCCCTGCCCCGCCATCACCCTGCTCTTGCGTCCCAAGACCATGTTTCCAACCTGATTCATCACTGCTAACTACTGTTAAGCGCAGGGTATAGTCTTCTAGATTCTTTTTTTCTTTTCTTTTCTTTTTTTTGAGACGGAGTCTTGCTCTATCTTCCATGCTAGAGTGCAACAGCATGATCTCGGCTCACTGCAACCTCCATCTCCTGGGTTCAAGCGATTCTCCTGCCTCAGCCTCC